ATTTTATGAGTACAAATATTTTTTTAAACCATTAATTTTAGGTTGATAAAAAAATAATTACAATGCCATTAATTGTTATTTTATATAAATTATAGTTTACCTAAAATTTCAAAATTTCAAGGTAAAACTAAAAAATTACTTCAAATTATGCCATAGCCAGATTTTATTACGCTATTATACTTGAAATTTAAAAGTTGAAACTATATCACAAATAATTTCTATAAGGCTGTATAGTGAATCCAAAATTAACGTTTGACTTTCCCAAATTTTAGAAAAGAAAGGGTTTAAAAATAACAAATTAAGAAGAAAAAAAATTGTGCCTGGTAGGCACAGTTCAGCTCCGACATTATATATTAAAAAAAAAAAAAAGTTGAATGACGTGTTGTCCATTTAAAGCAACTATAAACCGTCTTTTTTTTTTTTTTTTCTGGATGAACTTTTTATTGTTGGAAAATTGAAAACCATCAATTTTGGACTTCATTATAAACTTCAAAATACATTTTATTTTAGCTAAGAATATGAAAAATAACAAATCAAAATAACAGTAATTAATCCGATTTTCGATCTAACATTTTCTGGCCATATAAAAGATTAGTAAGGTAATAGCACGGTTTCTCTAGCCAAAAGGACCTGATGGGACCAAAATTACTCCCGAAAAAGGTCGCTTTGAAGGATTTTTCAATGTTTCACCTCATTAATTATTATAGCTTGGGATTCAGACGCAAGGGGAGAGAACTTAGAGTGTTCGTTCGGTTTTTTAGTTTAATTTTAAAATATTTTGAATGATTTTCGATTAAATAATTTTTTTAAAAAAATAACTGAAACTTTACCAAAATGGTATTACGTTTTTCGTTTCCGAATTATTGGGCTACACAACCCTAGCTACGTACGAATATCAATATTTAAGGAATCCTAGGCATCCAGCAGAGAGGAGGATTTTTTTTTTAAAAAAAGATATTCATGTCCACCCTTAGCTGGAGAGCAAGCATGCATAATATTTGCTACTTACTGTAGCTTCAATCTGCATGGTTTGATTTGATCTAACTTCAGCCTCCTCATTTGGCAATGAAGCGGCTTCTCTGATCTGTTGGAATATCTGCAGTTTTCTGCATCATGCATCCAGCCTGGGCTATTACAACATTATTATATATAAATAAATACGATGTATTTTATGCATATGTATACATATGGTTTCGCTTTTTACTTTGGGATTTGAACAGTTTGCATGGACTGTTTTCAATTATTTGGCATTGAAATGGCTTCTTCTTCCACATGGAATCTCTGCAGTATGCACTGTTGCGTGGTTTCAGCAAGTGCTAGCTAGCTAGCAAGTACTGTTGAGAACATGGCCTCCATGTTATGTGTTAAACTGGATTAATTGAATTTTCGAGATAAATGCATTATTATTAAAGGAATATTTCATCTAAAAGCTTAAGGTGATGGATGAGGCTCTAGAATATAATTTATATTAATCTCTAACACATCTCATCAAGTAAAAGCATCAATATTTGAGTTTGAAACTTATACATGTTCACATTACATTATGCTTAATGCTTGAGAAATTGAAAATTGTGAGACTTGAACTCAAGACCGCATAGTCAATCAAGCTCGATATCATATTAAATGACCATCTCACCTAAAAGCTTAAGCCGATAGATGAGACCTTATAATATAATTTATATTAGTCTCTAACAATTATAAATATATTAACTTTTATCTTGTTTAATCAAGTATATAAATTTTAATTTTTTTCATTTGAGTATGTTGATTTTTTAAAAAAATTATCAATCGAGTACTTTCGTAAATTTTTTCGCTAAATGATGATTCGTTCATTAGCCCAAAATACCAAATTATAATTTTTTTTTCCTCAATCAAATACACGGATTTTTAATATTTTTGTTTTTTGAATATATCGACTTTTTAAAACTATCAATCAAGTACATTCATCAATTTGTTACAATTTTAATTTTAATTTTTGATGATTTTAATTTTATTTTATTTTTTTGTGTTATAGGTTATTTTCGTTCAAAAATAACAAAAAGGCATACGAAAGAAAATATAAATATATAAGAATAAAAAAATCTTAATATATAATGATAAATTTATCAATTAACCTTTTTTTTTCTATTCATATGGAGAAGTGGTAAAATGAAACATTTTCTTTTGAGGTTATTTAATTGATACACTATAAGAAAATTGAAAAAATAACGATGGATTTTTTCTTGCTATATCTTTAATATCCATCGCTATTTAACCTCAATGACGGATTTGCAGCAATATACTTTCAGTACCTAAAACAATCGTCACTATTTTCTTGACAATAGAAACTTTTTTCGTTGTTGATCGGCTTTAGTTGTCGCTAATATGTAGAATTTTCATCGCTAAAACGAAGTAAATAGTCATCTTTTCGATCCGATATTTGTAGCAAAACCATTGTATTTGAATATTTTTATCGCTCACTAGTGACGTAAGTGTCGTCATTAAATTGTACTTGTTAAAATTTTTTGTAAATTCGTTGCTATTTAAGGATCTTATATATGTCCTTTACAAAGAGGTTTAATTTTTGTTACTAATTTGGTAGTCGATCCTTTACTAAATGAAGAAAATTTTAATTTTTTAAAAAATTAATAGCCGTTTAATGTTAATGGTAGTAACAAATAACTAAAAATAACATCTTATTAAAATATAAAATATTATTTAATAAAATTAAATAAATATATAAATACGTTAAGGTGTATGAAAATATTAAAAACCATTAAAAAATCTAGTCCTCATCATTATCATCTCCTACATCATCTTTCGATTCGTCGAGTATTGAGAGAAACGACTAACTCTTGGATTATGTGTAGGGGGATCAATTAGAAGCATACGAGTCTACCGGCTCATAACAACATCATCACTATCTCGTATCCGACTCTATAGAGTGTTGAATTTACCCATCCGTTCTTGGATGGTAATTTCAATCTCCTTGATCCTATCTTTGTACCGGATGTAAACCTTCTAACTATTACCATCGGAGGAACAACTGGCATTAAAATGAGAGTAAAACTAGAACGTCCATGATTGAGGTTGTAAACTTTTTGCTTCTTCTCCGCTCCTATAACATCCATATATATCTTGGTCATGTCGATATTTGGAGACGATGAATTGCCCTCCTACTACTCTTTAGCAGTTGTTTCTTGCATTGATCGCATACGCTCCTACGTTATTGAAATAATTATAATATTAAATCATAAATATATTTTTTTAGATTATATTGATAGATGTATATTTACAAAAATAAAAAAAATAATTAATTAAAATTATCCTAATTAATTAAAACTAAATCAAATTAACCTAATTAATTCTAATTCAAACCTAAATCAAATTAACTTAATTAAATGTAATTCAAAACGAATTAAATTTAAAATAACAAACAATTAAAAATTTTCACTATAAATAAAATTAAAAATTAACTAATTAATCAAAATTAACCTAATTAATTAATTAAACCTAAATCAAATTAACCTAATTAATTCAAATTCAAACATAATTAAATTTAAACCTAAATCAAATTGACCCTAATTCAAATTTAATTAAATTTAACTAATAATTAATTAACAAATTAACCTAACAATTAACAAAAAATAGCAATTTAATAATTTAATCAACAAATTAATAATTAAAACTATATAAAATTATAAATGAACCAATTAAATTTAAGATGAACTTAATAATTATGAAAAAATAATTAACTTTTAAGAAACATGTGTGAGAAAGAGAGAGAGAGCTCACCTAATTCGGACAAGAAAGAGATCGAGATAAAGGAAGGAAAAACAAAGGTTTTTAGGAGAAAAGAGTTTAAAGTGGTAGTGGGTGTGGATTGATGGGAAGTGGAGGAATGGAGTTTTGTGGCGGTTTTGGGTGGGGGAAGGATCAACGACTGGAGGAGAGAAGGAAAGAAAGAAGAAAATGTGAGAAAAAGAAAGAGAAATGAGATTTAATTAGGATTCATGCCAAGTGATGGATGTGATCCAGTTGGTGATTAGTCGTTATTTAGTGACGAACATAAGTATCGATCGCTAAACCATCGTTAAATGAGTGACTTTTTAATTCCAAAAGGTTGCGTATTTTATTAGAATTAGCTAAGGATATAGTCCTTTAGCGATGAATCTTCTATTGCTAAAGCTAAATATTAAAAATAGCGACCAACATAATAACACATTGCTGATTTTCGTAACAATTTCGTCATCGACCATTAGCCATAACACTTGAAAAGAATTTGACGACATAAATTCTTCACTAATAAATCATCGCCAAACCATCTTTAAACCCCACAAACTCTATTTGGTCGCTATCGATCATTTGTTAATTAGCGATAAATTATAGTTCGTCGTTAAAAATCCATTATTAAATTCAGGTTTTGTTGTAGTGTTACGGTTTACTTAGTTTACCAAATATTCATCATTGGCCCTCAAGACTTTAAAATGTCTGAATTTATCCTCAAAATTTTCAACTTTTTTTAAATGTCAACCTTGCTATGATGCTATCTAACTATTTGTAGGAGTATTGAAAAATAAATTACAAATTATGACAACTAAAGTGTTTAAACCAACAAACACGATAATGTTCGATATTTCTACAAAAATAAAATAAATAGATAGATAGATAGTTCCACGGTAGCTTTCAGTGTTAAAAAATTGGAAATCATATATGAGAATGAAACTACGGCTTTAAACTGTGGGGACCGATGCACAACTTAATTTTGGCAAACTGGGAAGAAAACTATGCGTTATCCCCCCCCCCTCCCCCCCTCCTCTCTGTGACAAATCGATTTTATTTTTTTTACACAGAAAATAATTAATTTGATTAAACTGGAGAGAAATTTTTCATTAAATAATTAAAATTTTTCAAATTGCATGAAAATATTCAAGGGGATTTCATGATATGTCATGTCAAAAAAAAAAAAAAACCAAATTAATAATTAAAAATTATGTGAAAATCAGCATGACCATGTATACTTTTCCTTTCTTTGGTATGACTTCACGGAGCCAGGACAACTTTTCCTTATATAGCAACAAATGGAGGATGAAGTAATGGCTCAATAATGCAGTTATCATATCAATAAACTTGCCGAAATATCGATTAGAAAAAGGACTTTCTTTCCGAAAGCTATTTCGTGACTTTCGTCATAGAATGCACCTTAATTCATAATTCAAAGTTTAATGCATTCACACAAAAGATCTACGTGTCAGACAAAAGGAAAAGGCATGATCACTGATGTTTTTTTTTTTTTTCCATGGCCTCATATATCACTTTTCTCACATGATGTCAAGGCAACTTTAATTTGCAAATTATTAACCAACTCATCATCACATAGGCTTAAGTTTCCAATTCCAATCATCTTTTCAAACATTATGCATCCTAGTTCTCTTAACAAGTGCTGTTAGCCTATTAAACTTGTATACAAGTCATGCCACCCGTGAAGCATGGACATGGTATAGAATACGGGAATGATACTATAAGATACAATAATATGGTAATTTTCAAAAAAATTCGGATTCAATACTTGAGGGATGTCATTACTTAAATTTTCAAAAAAAAATTTTATATAAATTTTCAAAGAAAAAATCCAAAAATATCAAAATTTAAACATTTTATTCGATTTGCGAGATTTTTCTAAATCTAAGCCTTTTCGTCAATTTTACGGGTTTTGTGATTTTTGTGAGCTTCGAAGAGAAAAATTGCCCAGCATAAAAAATAAGTGAAGAGATGATTAAAGTTAAAAATTAAAGAAAAGAAAGAGACAAAACAAAACGTCCAGGCAGTGACTGAGAAAAGAAAAAGAATAAAAACTTTTAGACTATCCTAATCTAGTTTAGTTAGGATTAATTCTATTTTCTAGAATTAATGTAATCCAACTTACGAGCAAAGAAATCCCCACCAAAACGAGCCTAATTCATTTAGCAGGGATGAACCTATTCTGGGGAGTGTCTAGTCGTCCAGATACATCTCTATCTACGTGTAAATACAAAAGTTTTAAAAAAGTCAAAGAGCAGGGTCAAAAATTCAGAGTAAATAGTAATAATAATAAATAAATGTCTAGAAACCATTTTCTCTCTAACCCGACCCGACCCGTCACTCTCTCTCTACTATTATTGATCGGTTTTTTTTTTTTATTAGAGAAGGTAATTGGACCGTTTAAACCACTCATCTCCACCACAACAACCATTCCTCCACTTAGTAGCAATGGTTGACGACGACGAACGAGGTAGAAAAATGGCTGAAATTGTGACATAATTTGACTCGTAGACTTGACCCGTCTTTTTCATACTTTTTCCAACCAAATTCTAGTCACAATGGTTAAAATCGAGCTCCAGTAGGTTCTAGGACTTATTTTCAACTTATTTCGAGCTTCAAAACTCACTATCCTCGTCTGAATTAAGTCAGAGAAGATGAGGAAAGATTACTGGAAGTTGCAGCGAACAATCCTTCCTCTTTGGTTGGTTGTGCTCAACATAGCCTCATCGAAGGATAGAAGAAGACCCATTCTACTTTTCCGAAGCGTCCACGCACTAAATGGAGGCCGAAAAGGCAATCAACTGTGGTTGAGAGGTGGCTGGAGCAAATAATAGCGATAGTGGCGTTGTGATAAATATCTGTAGCAAGTGTTTCACACGCGCCAAGGAAAATTTTAAGATATTTAGCCATTATCTAGGAGCAACTTTCTAGAAGCATTTTGGTCATTTTGGCAATTTTTTGAGTAAGTTTCGATGACTCTTATCACTTTTAAAAAATATTTTAGGCTTTTGTATGATTATTTATTGATTATGAGAACGATTTGAAGTATAAATGATACAATATCACGTATCAAATCTGAGGGTCTGAAAGTTGGGTATATTGAGGTAGAATAAAGATAGTATCAATACTCCAAGATGTAGTTGAGAGAATAAGATTGAGATTTAATTTTATGAATCATCGGGGATGAGTTTTGATCTTGGTGTGATGTTGATTGTGTGATTGCTTCATTGTGATTGCATATAAAATGACTTGTGTTACCGCTATTTGCTTTTTTTTGTTCATTGACGAATTTCATGTGTAAAGTGACTTGTATGGTCTCTATCAACTTGCTCCTTGGTCCTTGATGATTTTATGTTAAAATGACTTGTGTTGTCGCAATTGGCTTATTTTTCTTCCATTGACGATTTTATGTAAAATGATTTGTTTTACTGCTCTTGGATTATTTTTCATTTGTTGATGAATTTTTAGGAAAAATGACTTGTGTTGCCACCCTCCGTTTGATTTTCATTCGTTTTGTGGCCTTCGAGTTGATTTTTCTAGTGAAGAATTTTGTAAAAATTGTACTTGTCATCATCTTCGACATGATTTACATTGACGAATTCTATAAAAAAAATATTGTGTTTTGATTTTCTATTTATGAGTTTTATGAAAAATGAATTATGTTATTATCTTCGACTTGATTCTGTTCGTCGACAAAATCTTATGAAAATGATTTTTATGACATTGGTGTTGCATCCTTGCATTTGTGTTCATTTCATGTATTTTTTTTAAAAAAAAAATTATAGATTTTTATTTCAAGCATTTCAAAAAGTTATGAGTTTTTATTTTACACATTTTAAGTAAAATTGTGAGTTTTCATTTCACGTGTATTAAAAAAATCATGGGTTTTCATTTCATACATTTTAAGTGAAGTCATGGATTTTTTTATGCATTTTTTTATAAAAAATATGGGTTTTTATTTCATGTATTTTGAAAAAAAAAGAAGCTATGGGTTTTCATTTCACTCCTTTTAAATGAAGTCATGATTTTCATTTCATATATTTTGAGTGAATTTGTGTGTTTTTATTTCATTCATTTTGAGAAAAGTCATGGATTTTCATTTCATGAATTTTAAGAAAAGTCATGGGTTTTTTATTAGAGTCATTTCAAGAGAAATTATGGGTTTTTATTTCAAGCATTTCAAGAGAAGTCGTGGATTTTTATTTTATGCATTTAAAGAAAAAATGTGAGTTTTTATTTCACGTATTTTGATTAAAATTATGCATTTTTATTTCACATGCTTTTTTTTATGTGATTTTTATTTCATGCTTTAATTTGAGTGAGGGCTTTCAAGTCCATTAGATGATTTGATTGGGTTTTTATCCTATTTTGACTTTTCATTTTGATTCTTTATGGTCGTCTATTTTGGAGTGACGAAAAAACCCTTTAGCATGCTAATCTCAAATCACTCGACCGATTATATTTGAAGCTTAATGGCAAAAATACATTCAAATAGGTATAAACATTCATCATAATAAAAATCAGAAATAATGTTTTGATTTACATGCGATGCAACCTATCTCAAGTAGAATGAGGTAAGATTATTTTCTCTTTTCTATATGTAACCAGACTTCTTATTTAAAAATTCTAAACAGATCGGTCATTTGAGTTTTTTAATAATCTTTAATACTATATGACGACTCTTTTTTATATCCTTTTCCTATTTTCAAGTTCGTAATTTTGATGTCCAGCTACGACAAGGGATACATTAATTTTTTCATTGTTTTATATCTTATACAAAAAAAAAAAAATTAATGTAAAAGTAAATAAAAATCAATATAATGAATTATGTGTAAAAATATATGAAAGTCTAGATATATATATTTTATTTATTTATAATTCCTTTATACTTATAAATGATTTTTGGATGTCTAAAAATTAATTTATCTTGAAAAAGATTACAATAATTACAAAAGAATCAATAAAAATTTTATTTTTGCACTTTCAAAATTAATTAGTGCTACTCATCATTGAATTTTCTATTAATGTACAAAATAAATAAATTTTTAATCTAGAAATAATGATGTCATGTCTTGTTATAAAATTTATATAAAAAATAATTAGGTTGTGTTTGTTTCGAAAAAATAAGTTATAGGAACTTGTTTTTCCCATTTTTTCTGATTTTTCGATATTTATTTCACATTTAGGAAGAAAGTCTACGGAATTTGATTTTCGAGTCAACGGAATTTTATAGGCTTTTTTTGGGAAAAGTGGTTTCCTAGTTAAAAAGGATGAAAACATTTTCTCTACGAGTTACCTCACTCTCACGTTACTCACATCTCTCTCGATATATTTTAATAATTTTTTTTCTCTATCTCCTTTTTATTTAAAATATATTAAATTAATTTTTAATTATTTCTTATCAATTATTATCAATTATTTTTTTCTCTATTTCTACTAAAATTTGATTTTTTTGATTTATAAATACATTAAATATTCTTAAAAATCATTTTGACACCTTAAAATTATTTTTATAATGAGATATTTCAATAATTTATCTCTAACGTTTTTTTACCATTATCCCAAACACTATTCATTTGCAACTAAATCAATAATTTGTGATTAATTTTAATCATTTGTAAAATTTTGTTAGTAATTGTAATTAATAATTGGTTACAAATTATTCCAACATTAATCTTTTGAAATCAAATGAATAATTATTTAAAAATGATAACTAATAATTTATAAAACTATTTTTTATACTAAAATTATGAGTTCAATTTCAAAAAAAGAAAAAAAAGAATTCATAATTGAGTTACCAAAACAACAATGCTACGATTACTTGAAAATTTTTTTTTTTTTTTACTAAATATGAATATTGACTTGATTTTGTTTAAATAGTTTTGATGAATTGGTTTGATGGTTAAAAATATATATTTTATTTTTTAATTTTTTGAATTTAAATCTTAGAGTTAGTATTTATAAAAATTAATTAAAACTTTTTAAATGTATCATATATTGTGAGATTATAAATATGTCTTATTAAAGTTTCTTCAAAACTCGTTAATGTAACAATTACGAGTCTATTTTTGTATTTTCGTTTTACGTATCAAACAAATATCTGAAATATATTTTTCAGAAGTTTTTTTTATATAATTATCAAACGTCGAGAAAATATTTTTTTTGAAAAACAACTTCTTGAAAAATAGCTTCTCTATAATTGCTTTTTTCTATAAAAAGTTGGTTTTTGCCAAACAAATAGAACTTTATAATGCATACATTTACTTCAAATAACTCTTATATAAAAATATGATCATATCATCCGTCATAAAATTTATAAATTGGAACAGGTAATTAAAAAATATTGAAGTAAATTTATGGTTAGTTAAATGTTTTGTTTTAT